GTAACTCAAAAAGTAACTTCTACTTGTAACTAGTTACTTTTGGTGAGAAGTAATTCTACTGGTAACTAATTACTTTTTGGAGGACATACTTGTAATTGTAACTAGTTACTTTTCAAAAGTAACGCGCTCAACACTGTCTATCATCTTCTAAATTGCAGCGACTTTCCATTTTCTTTTTCTCGTTGAGTCCCAGAATGCTCGCCCGTATGCAATGACAATTGCCAGCATGCCGCATGTTTCCCCAGATTGGATCAGTACTCGATCGGCAACGCATTTCGATGCTGCCATTACGAGCTCGTGATTTGGACCCCAAAAGAAACGATGCCAATACGAGAGAAGATATGCGTGCCTCAACTATCCAAGTCGGTCCGACGCATTTTGCACTATCGCTGCCTGTGGAATTTTCAATTGTTCGCGCTTCTTGGTATTTCCATCGCTTGTTACCCCCCCCTCTCCTCCCATATGAGCGCCACGATTTGAATGAGAACGCATTCCGAGAAACGTTGGGAGCGTTAAGTGTGAATTTTGGATTCTTCGATCCCGTCCCGTTAGTGTTTCTCGCACTGACGTCAGTCGCGAGGAAAAGCGGAGAAAAGCAGAAAGCCGGAATTAGGAGGACTTATTTTCTCTTTCCTCCTCTGTAAATCCTTTCGGGACCTTCGGGATCCTCTCAGCGGTTTTTTTTCCCGTTTTCTCTCTGCCAAGATATATAACGCGATGGAAAGGCCCCGAGGGCGCGGTAAATGGATTTTACAGCCTGGAGAGTCGCCACGACGCGAGATACGACGCAGCGGCGAAACGACTCGTCCTGGCGACCGGACGAGTCGCCGGGACGACCGGATCATCCATCTCGCGAAGTAAAGAAAAAGGAGCCCCGAAACTGCCCGAAAGGTGATATTACCTTCTTGCAACACAAAAATCGCTTTACAAGATAAAAAAAAAAACATGGTCGACAGGTGGTGGAACCAGCTCCCAACCGGTTAGGAGCTGGTTTCACGTCGTTTGTTTATCTTGGGAAACTTTCATTGTTTTGCCCCCAAGGGGACGTGATAAGAATGAACCGGGAATCGTAAAAGTTGAGAGGAATCGTAAAGTGGAGGGCCTTCCTCATTTCCTCGTCTATTTTGAGGCGCGCCTCCAGTCTCCTGCGCGCTTCCGTGCGGCACCCACCCTCCTCCAAGAAGTCACGGTAAGGATCCGACTCCTCATCCCTTCCTTTCTCGTCTCCATTATTTTTTTTAACGCAACCGTGAAGCCCCAGAGAAAAAAAAAAAACGGAAAGAATTTCAGGACAAGACCCGATTTTCCGTGGCTCTTCACTGCCCAACCGCTAATCAACTAAAAAATGTCACCTAAAACATGTCATATATGTCAAAACATATAATCGTGTACCTGTAAGAAGCTCTAATTATGATGCATTAATAGATTTAAATCATGAGTCACGCGACACCAGACCGGTTTTGACATCCTTCTAGTACCGATCAGAGTTTTTTTTTATCGTTTGAGCGTAGAGAGTAAAGATGGAATTGCTGGGAGCCTCAATCCTAACCATTTTCCGGACTCCCAATTTACAGGAGTCATGGAATGAGCGTCAGATCGCGGTCAAAGTTCGTCGTGTGTCGATCCCCCCCCCCCCCCCCCCCCCCCCCCCCCCTGCCCATTCCATTTCCGATGCGGTTATGCTTCTCGGGTTCCTTTGTTGCGCGATCCGAAAAAGGACTTCTTCGTCGAGAGTTCTAATTCATCCCGTCCCGGAACGATGGGCTCGGAAAAAAAAAGCGCTTAGAATTAACAGAAGCGAAAAAAAAAAGCCTCTCCAGACGAAACCGCGCGAAGGCTAGAAAGAGCTTAATTTTAATATAATCAACCATTACGACTCAATTACGCATATTTTCCATCCACCAGCCGAGCAAAATCGACTCTCGTCCTTCGCGCTTAAAAAAAACGTCGCAACATCCATAAATTTGGACCATGGCCGCGGCTAAGCAAATTGCGTTGCACGAAATTGAACCGAAATATTCCGAGCCTTTTGTTTCTCAACTGCGATCAGTATCTTCGCTTTTTAAATTCAGGCGGTTTTTGAGAAAAATGAATTTTATTAACGCAATATAGCCGGGTGGCTGTTATCCGGTGGCTCTCCGTTTTTGTCCGAGGGCACCTTCACTCGAGAGGCCAAAAGAAATTTCCCGGCGGATTTGGAGCCGTTCCTCGATTTTCGGACTAAATCCCCTTGAAAAAATCTGAGATTTTTTTGTCGATCTGGTGAAACGCGAAAGAAGAGACGCATCACGATGGCGTGACATCGCAATTTTTCAGCGTGACTTCGCGTCTCTCCACCTCGCCCCGTGCTCCGGATCCGGATCCGGACCTCCAGATGGAGGTCGAGAAACCGTCGCCCGGCCGATAGAGACTAACGCTGGGACCTGTTCCCGCTGAAAAAAAAAAGAAACCTCTCGAAAGGGCGTCTCA